ACGCGATATCATTGGCAAACTTTGATCGCTTATAACTCAAAAACTATTGCAGCCTCAAAATTTTTGTATTAAAATTTTTGACTCTACTTTATCTCTAGAACACGCTAATAAAGTATTATACGGAGGTTGTAAGACACCCTGTATATATCATGGGACTAATTATAATTCAATACAAATATACGAACTTTTACAAATAACTATGTCTTATAAACTGTTGTTATAATTCTTATTGTAATGCATATTATTGAATTTATCATAAAATTCTTTATAAAATTATATTAAATAGATATACTGTTCTCCTGCGCTTAGTCCTGTAACTACACTTACACGCGTATCGATCAGTCATCTGTTATTGATTTTTTCAAGTTAGGTGATATTGATTTTTACTGCACAGCTTATATATATATATATATATATAAGGATATATGTATATATAAGGATATATATATATATATATATATAAGGCTTCAGAAATCAAATAAATAAAATCATATTCTTTAACTAATTTTCAGTTTACTTTTATAGAGACTTTGAATTTGAGCTTTAGTTATAAGTATACATAATATTGAAGATATGCAAATCATAAAAATGACGACTTCTTTCATTCTCATAAAGAAAAAATCGATTTCAACTTGGCTGAGGAATGTGTTATTAGGCGTTAAAGCGCTAATGACTGTGAACATCTTTATATATATATATAATATTTTCTACCATATACATATTTATATACATTTTTTTTGTTTTTGTGCAACTTGCATGCTTCAAGTTTTCCCTTCCTTGAGCTGAAATGTTTCTGCATTGGATTCTTCGTTCTCTATATTCCTTTGATGAATCGGTGTAAGGAACACTAGCTATTGGTCCGTAGTGGCCGTTGGAAGAGTGCTCGTATCTCCGCTACTACTCTCTACTATTAGCATCACTGTTTCGGCCGCACCTCTCACACATTCCATCTGATGACTTGCCCAATCCTTACGTTGACAAAATGTAGAACAGTACGGCGTGCGTCTGCATAGGGAACATTCTGCGAATGCTTCTCGATTGCAGTTGGCACACTAAAATTCATTATCATTATTATTATTAGTCTGATGTAATATTTTTATTATGCTGTAAAATAAATTCTCTCTTTTTTCTCTTTAGATGATTTGCGATTAAATTCAAAGTTCGCAAAAGTTGAGAGTTAAAAGGATAATAGTTAGTGATAGTTGTGAGAGAGAGGAGTTGTGGAATTTTTAAATAAAAGAAAGCTATTTATAATAAAATTTCTCTCTCTTTTCCTCATGAAAATAGAAAATAATCAATAAAATATCTTTTCCTGCATTGGTATTCTTTTTACCTTTTTATTATGTGCATCGGATGCTGGTTGTAGTCCAACAGTTTCGATAACATCCGTCCGTCCACCAAGTTGTGCGACCAGCGCCTGCTCTCTTCTCTGCTGTCTGTTTAATTCCTTCACTTCTTCCAAAGTACGCCTAAATTCGTAAGCTAATTTCATCATTTTGTTTGACAGTTCATCTAATTTCTTAAAAATGTCGTCGCCTTGACCATTCTCCGTTTGATGTGTATTTTGTACGACAGAGTCCTGTTCCTGGGATTGTTGTACGACCAGTCCACCATCCGTGGAAACAAACTGCGGCCAGACCTCTTTGTCAGGCACAACGACCTCGTCGCCGCTCTCGTCGTTATTGCTGCCATCTCGCGAATTTTCAATTTTATGTTTACGCGAGGGAGCGTCTCCGTCAGATGGATCCCTGGTTCTTCTCCGGCGCTTGTACGGAGTAAACAGTCGCACCGGTCCTGTCTAAACAGATTGACAATGTTGTGTAATCGGAATTTAAATTTGTTTCAAACAGGAAATTTTAAAACATATTTTATTTACTTACCGCACTGTCATCATCGCAACACGCTGCGCAAGTACAGGAAGTGGCATGCGGTTTTAAGATCTGTTCGTCGATGAGGGTTTGCAAACTTCTTCCGCCAAATCGAATACTTCGTTTCCAATCTTTGCTAGACGCCCTTCCGCAAAGAGCCTCGAATTCGCTAGGCGTATACCACTCTGAGCCAACTTTGATACAACGACCCCTGCCGCCAGACCCGAATCTACTCTTATGCAATTCTGCATTTGTATTCTTACATCTGACAGGTAAAACCGCTAAATTTGCAGATTCAGACCAACTGTATATAGGCTGAGAATTGGGCGTGGAAACATGTATCTGCTCCGATTCCGTGTCATCCGCACTATTTTGAATCACTATGTGGGTTGCCTTCAGCTCACCATTCCAACGTAAAGGATCCGAGTCTTTATCGTGACGCGAGTCACAGATGAAACCATTATCGACGCATAGCATCTGTTTGAATTGTCCTGAACCTGGCAGCTGCGCAAATAATGAATATAATTTATATATTATATTTATTTATATTATACCATACACATATAGATACTATATCTGTATATGGTATAATAAATATGTATGTGTGTGTATATATATTGTATGTTTTTATCTGTTTTTATCTTTTAGAGAAATTTGATTAATGTTTACAATAGAAATGTGTATGCCGTATGATTGCCAGAGGCACACTACATTTATAAATAAACATAAGAAACTAGATGTTCGTGTCTGGACCGATTTTGTGCTACGATATCAGATTTGTGTTTTATTTAGATTGGGAATTGTGTAATATCTCAAAGCCATCTCGCGGTTTAGAAAAAAACAAAAAGAAAAAAAAAAGAATAAGAATTCGCAATAAATTGAAGGAAAGTCGTAATGCATCGAACATCGAGCATCGTTGACGGCACGTGTTCTCGGATTGTCATCGCGCTGGACAAGTGCACTCATACGCGTCATATTAGCGTCATCGCGGATAAAATAACACATAGGAAAAATAATAAGCGCGTTTCTCCCTTTTATACATTTGTAAAATCGCTTTTATATTCCATGCGTCTCCACGGCTTGTTTATCTGGACTTTATGGGCGTACCTGTAGCTGATCCGAGGTGATGACGTTGAAGGTCGCGCCATGGGTCGAATTGGATACGCCGATGATGGAACCTACGGGTAGAGAAACCGGCACACCAACTCCGGGAACGCCCGGTACGCCCGGCACCGAAGTAACACTCGCCGTGACCGCGACAGGATGTGCCTCGTGCTCACTCGTCAGCGCGGTCGCCTCCTCGGTCTCGCTCGTCAACGGTTCGGACATGTCCGGTAGCACGGCGACACTTTCCGATGTTTGGCTCTCCTCCATTTCGGCTGTTCTCGCCTCGCCTCGCCTCGCCGCGCCTTCGTCTCCTCGCCTCTTCGCCACCGTCGTTCTCTATGGTCGTACCGATGGAGCCTGATGTAGGGTAGCGGGTAGCCCACTCAAGCCCACTGAATGAAGCCCACTCAAGCCTCAAGCCCACACTACATCTATTTGTCTGCCGCCTGCCGCTCGCAATCGCAATTCGTTCGCAATCGTTGGCGCAATAGCGTCAGCGTCGGCGCAGGCTCTCGCGGTCCGGTCGCACAGCGCCCCACGCGAACTACGATGTCTAAAATTTATCCAATCTAGACAAAAAAGGATGACAAAAATCTTTTCGTCTGAGGTGTAATCTCTGCATATTTTTAGCGACAATTTTCCAATTTCTAGTTATTCATATACATATTATATAATCTGTAGGCTGCATTTTATGTTTAAAAAATCCTTAATTATTTCTATTATTTCATACTTTTAAATTGCTGTATACATCTTGTTTTCTGATTATAATGTG